GAGTGGGCCGGAGTTATTGGACCGATGCATCACGGTTCCCGTCCGAAGATCCTTCACAGAAAAACCATGTGCATCAAATTCAATAGAGCAATTATTATCACGCGTAAACTGGCGAACAGAAATAAGGTTATGGATGATATGCGGGGAGATAAGGACATTATTGAGGGAGAGGGGAGGGTTGGTGGGGAGGGTGTGGGTACCCACCGCCGTAGTGCTTACTCTAGAACCATTGCCAACAATAATATGTAATGGAGAATTTAAGGATTGAGAAGAGACATGAGAAATAGTACATGGATCGGAGGCGATGTGGTGCGTGGCTCCCGTGTCGAAGTACCATGTGGGTTCCCGTAGGGTCATGGTGTCGAATTGGTGTGCTAGGGCTGTAGGGGTGGGGTTGGGAGCCTGCGGGTGGGGGGGTGGTGTTTGCGGGTAGGGTGATGGGTAGGTTAGGGCTGTCGGGTAAGGGGGTAGGGTTGGGGTAGGGTAGGCTGTTTGGCCGTAGGGGTGGGGTGAAGGGTTAGGGTTAGGGTTGTAGGTGTAGTAGGCATGGGCGTGGGTAGGGTAGGGTGGGCACGGGCCGAGAAGACCCGAGCCGGGGTTTGGTTGCGGTGAGTTCCAAGGTACGTAGTCGTCATTCGGGTGTCGTTGCGAGCCAGAGTTTCTTCCTCGTCCACGTCCACGGCCGCCTCCACCACGACCGGAATTACGCCCCTGCTGTCCGCGGCCGCTGCTGCCGCCGCTGTACCCGCTGCCAAGCGTTCCACTGCCACGCCCGAAGTCGCCGCTGCTGGTGCCACAGTGTGGGCCGCTGGTTCGGCCGGCCAGGAGGGCCGTCCCGGCGTCGTCTGTGATGCTTTGTCTTTGCCGATCCAGGAGCAGGAGGGCGGATCGGGTCTGAAGAAAGTTGGGCAGCGGTTGCTGGAATTGTAGAAACGATGTCTGAGCCTGGAGATCTTCGGGTAATCCCCGAAGCATTTGAAGCACGAGTTGAGACTCAGAGACCGGGGCGTCGACGTCATCCAACCAATCAGCAATATTTCGCAGGGTTTGGCAGTACGTAGCCATAGGCATCGTACCCTTGACAGTGGTTCAGAACTGGTGCTCGAGTTGCATCGCCCGAGCATGCTTGTTATCATGAAAAAGTGCATGAATAACCCGCCATAATTCAGCTGCGGTGGAGGTGGTGGAGATGACCAGATCTGAGACTTCGTCAGAGATAGTAGAGAGAATCCACCCTTGGAGCAGGGCGTCAAGTTGGTACCATTCATCATCATCGGCAGAGGAGGGAGATGATGAATCCGAGAGAAAGCCATGAAGTGTAAACCGGCGCACCAGGAGAAGAAAAAGCCGGCTCCGCTTCTTGTAATTGGGCTGAGAGAAGCTTAGTTGGATCGGGACATGAAGCTTGACGTTGGAGATTGTGGTGAAAGCAAGATGAGGAGGATTGGAGGAGGAGGAGGAGGTTGAATTTTCTGTGTTTTTGTCGGAGGAAGCCATATCGAGGGAGAAAAAGGGGGGTTCGCCGACGTGGGCTGTGCGTGCGCCGAGAACAGACTGCCGAGAGAGAGAGAGGCGGCGGCGGCTGTTCGGCTGGAGGAGGGCACGCCGAGAGAGAGAGAGAGAAGGTAGGGTTAGGGTTTTGTGAAAATTATGGCTCCGATACCATGAAGAATTATGAATTTCCTTGAACAATAATGTGGGAGAACATGTGTTTATATACACAAGCTATTCCTAATCCTAGTTATGGTAGGATTATACAAAAGGAAACAATATGTGTACAATAAATATAGAATATATATTTAACATAAATATAGTATATATTTAACAGGAGGGAGTAATTAAGAAGGAAATGAGCAAAAAGAAAATAGATGTGTTCTTTTAAATGTCTGGTTGGAGAGAACAAAGAAACCCCAATGATGTAAAATGTTCTTCTTATACAAAAGGCTAAATAGCACGATTCATGTGGCATTGAATTCAAATGTCACAACATGATACTCCTACATTGTTCTGTTAGTAAAATTGATGGTCCGTACCCCTAAACTTATTGCATCGCCTCCTTTCCCCTCAGTTAGCCAATTGGCTATAGTGAGTTACTTACCAATGTAGCCAATTAGTGAACTGAGAGGGAGGAAAAAAGACTGGGTGGGTGCAGGAGGATTAGACAGGTAAAAGCCATTAATCTACCAAAAGAGTCTCGCAGGATACTTGGGTCATACTATGACATTGGATTCAATGTCACTTGAACCAGGTCGAAAGTTAATATATGCGAAGTAATTTTTAATGTTTTCTCTTCACGGACGATCAAACACTCAAAGGGTAAAGAAGTAATTACAAACAGGTGGAGTTTCAAAAAACTCTCATTTTTCTCTTCTATCTATATTTTACCGAGTACTTTTTATTTCAACAAGGAAAAATATCTTAAAATTTTTGTTTTTTCGCCACTTTTTTGTCTTATGAGTCTTCAAATGGCTAATAAGGAGATGATATATGGTACATCCATTTGTACCCAGAGATAGATACATCCGGGTAGTACTCATTCTGAAGTAAAATAGTACACATTCTCGTATCAACGTATATTCATTTTGAAATACTCTGGTGCTCATTCTGAAATAACAAAATACTCATTCTGAAATAATGTACTACTCATTTTCACACATTTATTTAATACAATCATAATATTCAACTACGAATAACGTAATGTTCATTCTGAAACAAACTAGTACTCATTCTCAAATAAGGTAGTGCTCATTGTGAACTAAAGTATTGTTCATTCCACTATAAGCTTATCTTTACAGCCATATGTAGTTCTATACCTAGAGTTAATTTCTACAACTTCTTGCGCACGTGCCCTCTCCGGCAATTGAAACGTAGATGGATCCATGACCTAACCCGGCAATTAGAAAACATCGGCAACGAAATAGCATCCCTTTATCAGCGTCTACGTCTTCTCCAGCGAGCATGGGCAGAGGTGCGACTGAGGTGGGTGGGTGATTCTTCCAACGACATCAACTTCCGTTCCATCTCTTCTTCTCCAAAACGGGTCTGGTCGCGCCTCCTAAGGGATTTAAGCCAGCTATACGGTTCTAAGCATACAGCCAGGTGTATGATATCATGTGCGGCTAGTAAGCAGAAGCATTGTGTGATCATTTAACCACATTTTATGAATAATAATTCGTTTTTTTCTAAATACATATAGTTTCATAAAAGCAAGTTCAGTAGTGAGGCAAATAGCCTCCACGCATTGACACCTCAGCTCGAACTTCATTCCTCCTCGCGTGTCATTTGCCTTTTGCCTCTCTCCACGAGTTAGAACTAAGGCAGGGAAATGCCAGTTTCTTTTTCTTTTTTATTTTTTTGTAAAAATAATTTTTTTAAAAGAATACATTTATTTTTGTGAAAAAAATTATTTAAAATAATTCTTAATAATCAAAATATATTATAAATTTATTTTCCATCATCTCCTATGGAGCCAAAATTTCACCATTTTTGACTTTCGGGTGTGATGGAATAAATCAAAATGGATCTCTAAACAGTCTGCGCTTCTTTAATTAATGAAGTAGCAGTTAGTCAAGCAATGCAACTTTCGACGTTGAGCTGGGGGTCTCTTTGGAAATAGTCTCTCTACTTTCGAGTAGGGTAAGGTCTGCGTACACACACCCTCCCTAGACCCTACTCTTGTGAGATTTAACTGGGTTGTTGTTGTTGTATATTATAAACATGTAATATAACTTGTGAATGTTACACATTCGCCACTGCAGAATATACAACTTTACACATTCACCACATGCTGACTAGACTCTTTTTTATTGTTGGAAATGTTACACATTCCCTTTCTTTACTTGTCATTGCTCATGCTCTAAAACTTTTTTGCTTAGCATATAAGTGAGATTTAAAGAATGTGTAATTTTGATGTTATTTTCCAATTTTGCTCTTGCTTGAGAAAAATATGATGTGATAGATAAGTTAATAATTAGTATGGGTAAAAAAGATTTTAATCAAAGATGAAAGCTTTTTTTACTGATAAGAAGTGAAAGTTTTAAATAGATCTTAAGGCGTGTTTGGTGAACAGTGAACTAGACCGATATGGGTTTAGATTTCTTCGATATCAAGTTTTCAAATTTAATTTAGTGATATGGAAATTCTCCTTTTCACCCACTTTTTGGTACCAAACAGAAAGTCCCGATATGGAGATTTCTTATGGTAATAAATAGGTCTAGCCACTCCATTAATCCAATAATTCAAAGCAATCTCTTGCATGCTCGACGTTAACTCTTTTGCTCGAGAATATCAAATTGAAGGCCATCTCTTGACGTATTCGTATTCCTCGCCTGCAACTTTTCCGTGTTTATCTTACGAGAAGGAGGCAGCGGTTGGGACTACTAGGAACATGCCGGCTCTGCACCACTAGAGATCGTAGCTGACTTGAACCATTCCCACATAACAATTGCTAATTTCAGAGTGTTGAGGGAGCTGAGGTAGCAGTTTTGCTAGGTGAAAACCAAAGTAGGTTCTTCGCTTTTCTGATTCGATCACTTTTTTCCATTTTCTTTAAACACTATATATTCAGATATCACAATCAATTTCTTTTCTTCGAGATTACAAGATTCATTTCATTTCTTCTTTCCCCACCAATAGGTCTTTAGTGAAAAGGTCTTTTGGGATGGAGGGAGGAGCATTCATACTCCTTAGGTCCTATGTAGGTTCTTGATTTCATTATTTGGATACAATGTATTTTATAGGAATAATAAAGTTTTGATTTCATATACTCCCTCCATCTCTTTTGAATCTTTCTAGTTGACTTTTCACGAGTTTCAATGTAATACTTTGATCATCAATATATTTATGTGTAGATAGCTATATATTATAAAAATGTTATATTTAAAAGCTATGTTTCAAAATTACTTATTGATAGAATATCCAAAAAAGACGGATGGTTATAAGTAATGAACTATGTTTTTCATATTATTTGAGTTTTTCTCAAAAATTTTAATAATGTTTTAAACTCTCTCGAAATAGAAGAAAAGTTATTGAAAATGATTTTTTAAGTCTAGCAATTAGAATTATTGAAAATCATTTTTTATGCGTAGCAATGAAAATTATTGAAATTTTAATAATACAATTTCATGTTTTTGTAAAAATGCTACCTTTTCATTTTCTTTATTGCTATTTTTTTTAAATAAGTACAAAATTGCTACTTTATGTTTTTTAGTAGCTATTCTCACTCATAAAGTATATCTATCAGATCGACGCTTTAATCTAGATATTGTTGTGATCTTTTGATGAGTTTCTCGTCGACATATGTGCCCACCATTCATCCAAGGACGTCTTTGAACAGATTCAAAATCTTCCTCTAGAATGTCGCCATGGTGTTGCATGGGCTAAAGGGAATCACGACATAGCATTATATTACACTCTATCGGATGTTACGAAGGCACATCCTCGGGGTGCATGAACACTTAGTAGTACTCTTGGAAGACATTTATGAAGCTCAGAAGTTTGCACACCGTAGCCTCATCTACTAACAAATTTATCCTAAGAACAAGATTATTATCCATAAGGCACACTGATTTTACCCTGGTTCACCACAATGTGTGGCTACGTCTAGCCTCCCGATAAACTCTCTTGAGTTACACTATCAACGTTAAGCTTAACGGTGTTTAACAAACTTGTACAATTTGAGAGTTCGAGTTACACGAACCTCAACAAACCTTCGAAGGAAACAACCCTTCCTTCGAACCAACAAGAGAATCACTTTCTCTTAACTAGTGTCTTAAACACAAATGCACTCAAGAGCAAGACTCTCTTTTATAGTGGTTGTTGAGTAAACTAATAATGCTCAAGAACACAACAAAAAATTTCACAAGAATGACTCTCAAAAGCTATGAAAAATGTTAGAATGAATTGCAATGAAGGAGTATGAATTGTGAAGTGATTAGATGAGAAAAGCAGACCCAAACACCCCAATTTATAAGGAAAAGTTAGGCTCCAACGAGTGGGATTTGACTGAGGGTGATTGGCATAACTTGTGGGATTTGATTTAAAATGGGATCTGCTAAAAATAGGCCTAACATCGATATTCAAGTACTGAGCTTCGCTGTTGAGGCTTAAACTTTCAAACTGGAAGTTGCAACAGTCACCTCAATATCAATGTTCAAGAAGTGAACATCGCTGTTTAGGGAGTTGACTTCCAAACATGGAAAGTTTTAACCTTTAATATCTTTCAAAGTCAGGTACCAACATCGATGTTCACAAGTGAACATCGCTGTTCAAGACGATCCTGCCAAAGGAATATTTTGTCCTAACGTCGATGTTGCTGGACCAACACCGCTGTTATAAAAGGTTCTGCCAAAACTCAACTTTCTTAGCTTAAAACTGAACATCGATGTAGTGTCATGTCCTCTACATCGCTGTTGAGAAAGCTACTGGCTGATTTGGGCTTGGCTTAACAGCGATGTTCATAGTCCAACATCACTGTTGGAGGACTTGATGTCAAACCATGGTTTTCAGGTGCAAACACCAAAAAACATTGTTGGGATGGTTTGCCAAAACCATGGTTGGTCAGTCAACGCCGAAAGCCGATGTCAAAAATTAAAGTTCTCCAAGTTAAAAACCAAGTAATGAAAACACTTTTTTATTTATTTGACTAAGAAACCAAGTAAAATATCATAAGAACCACGTCAATAAGGTAAAAACCACGGCTAGCCACGTTTATGTCGTTTCTCATGGGTTTTACCAAAAGACTAAAAACGAAAGACGATTTTTAATATGTTTTGGTTGGAGAATTGCTTAAAAGTTCCTAAAAGTAAAAACCAATCATAAAAAGTTAAAAACCACTTGGTTTTTCGGATGCCAAAAACCAACGACGATAACCGAATGCCGAACGCCGGTTTCTGAAAGCCGAATGACGAACGACTTGGTTTTTGGTTTGGGTGAACGCCAAGTGTTCACTACAAGAAAAATATAGTTTAGCCGCATTTAATTTGCCACACTTGACTAAGTGTGGCTATAAAATTTAACACTTAAAGATTCCCCACATTTATAAGAGTTGTTACACGTAATTCCATGTACCCACATAATTAAGTGTGCCAAATGACTTATATATTAATATATACTTAATTTAAGAAAGTGCATTTAACTTATTAATTAAAATAATTACTCTTTAGTAATTTAAATTCTAAAACTACTCACGCATAAAAAAATCATGTCCCGCTTCTTCTAATTCAGTAAAAAAAACTAATCGCGCCTAACTTTTCATCATCAGCTTCCGCCCGCCTAATTTTTCATCTCCTAACACAAACAAAATCTGTAAACCTAATCTCGTTCTCTTTCTACTCCAGCGCACAATTAACCTAATCAGTCGCACCTTTCTGCTCTCATCTCGTTCTTCTCTCCTGCTCACATCTCCGTCGGCCTGCATCTCTCTGGCGCACATCTCAATTAGGTACCGGCCAGCGTATTCAGGGTGCATCAATCCTCCATCTTACCATTCAATTCGTTCGGCCTGCAATTCATTCAGGTATTTATTTTCTTTTATGATTAAGTTTGCTTCTAATCGATGAATTCCTGAAATTCGAAACCAGGAAATAGCTGTGCGTATGTCTGCGTATAATTTGTGGATGATGTAACTTTATGCTTTTAGAATTAGAGTGATGTTTCAATACATTACTTAATATGTACTGCCTCTTAAAATAGGAATCAAATTTTGGGTTCTTGTTATTTCAGCTATGTTAAATACCAGTGTGCATAGAGAGGGAGAAAGGATGTCTAAGGCTATTTTAGTGAGTAAGGCTGGTGCTAAGAGTTTGAATAGATTAGATTGTTGAAATATGTGTTGAAAGTAGTTTGAATCTGTCTTGATTGGATTACTTTATATTTGTCTTGAAATTAGATTTTTTGAAACTTTCACATCATTTTTGGTTAGTTCATTTGTTGACTAAACATTTTTTAAGTCTCTTGAAAGTTAATGTTTTGAATGTTTGATTCCTTTTTTGGAATATTTTCCATTTTTTATATCTCTGTAGTTGAATAATTTTGGTTTAGTAACCCTAAAACTATTAGAAGCTTGAACAAAATGAGGCCCCTCTTCGTACAAATATGAGGTGCTTGGCTCTGTGAGTATATAATTTCCTTTCAATACAAGGAACATTGTTTCTGTCGTTTTAACTATGTGATTCAACCATGAATTTATTTTATTACTCTGTAGAAAGTATTGGATAAACACAAGTATTTTGTTTTTTATGCTTCCCAAGATATACGGCAGTGTATATATTGGTGTGGACACCACCTTCATTCTATGTGAATACTTGCAAAAGAAATTGTGAACGAAATATTTTGAAGAAATCCTTGATAATTAAAACTGTATTAACTCCCACCCCTACTGCTACCTTAAACCTAAATTGCTAACCAATTCAGTTGGCATTGTAGTACAGGCATGGTTGGGATAGGGTAGACTCATCATTGATCGAGCCTATATCAAAAGAGCTCCATCCGTGACGGAACCTTAGAAACACTGGTCTCTGTCAAAGTCTATTCAATTATGCTTAAATTGCTTCCATTTAAACACATGAAACCATAACAGATTGGTAGCTGAAATTTAGTGTCAACTGTCAACTAGTTTAGAACAGTTAGTTTGACACTAATTTACGGGGCATATAGGAAACATCTTCTCAATCTCCCTTTGAGAACTTCACCCAGAGTCTTTACAAAGGACTTAACGGGTGCTTGATTTTTATACGTTGGACAATGATTTTAAAATATATGATGTTTAAAGTGCGATGATAATATGTATTATGTAGTAGTGTACCTCTAATTTATTATCATCTAAGTATAAATGTAAGTAACATACATGGTTTATTCATTTATATTTTTGTTTTTTAGGTTATAACATTGTTTGAAATGGATAAGAGTTGGATTAATATGAATAGAACATCGACACAATATATAGGTGGTGTTCAAGCATTCCTCGATTTTGCTTTTGCAAATGCTCCAAATAGTAATGTGATTGTTTGCCCTTGCAATCGTTGTAAAATTAGGCGTAATCGCTATTTTAATAGAGATGAAGTGACAGAACACCTCATGTTTAATGGGTTTTGGCCTAAGTACACAGAATGGGTGCATCATGGGGAACCAATTTCGACTATAGGAGCATCAACACCGCATATTCCAAGCCACACCAACACTTGCAATGATGAAAACTTTGTTGGTAATGTGGACACTAATGCATTGTTTAGTGATATTTTAGGGATATGCAATCAAGGGAATTATAAAAAGAGACAGAGACACGATACCGATTCATGTGATCATCCTGATATGGATCCCTTGTTTGGGATAGATGGTGAGTAGTTTATCGTAAATGATGACTTTATTGATGAACTTAACTCCTACGAAGCTATGAATGAGGATGAGAACTTAGAAGAAGTTGGGTACAAAAATCTAGTTGAGCAAGCCCATCAAGAGTTATATCCGGGATCAAGTTATTCAAGGTTATCTTTCATGTTACATTTGTTCCATCTGAAATGCATGCATGGTTGGTCCATTAAATCATTCAACAAGTTGCTTGAACTTTTAGGGGTTGTCATCCCAAATATTACACCATTTCCAACATCATGGACCCAATGTAAGAAGTTAATGAGAGATTTAGGCCTTCATTATGAAAAGATCCATGCTTGTCTTAATGATTGTATTCTTTACTGGAATGGAAGGGAAAATCAAAATCAGTGTGACAAATGTGGTGCTTCACGGTGGAAAGATGAAAACAAAAAAGTACCACATAAGGTATTGCGTTACTTTCCTCTTATACCAAGGTTACTTAGAATGTACAAGTCTTCAAAGATAGCCGAAGATATGCTTTGGCACGAAAAAGATAGGGTCAAAGATGGAAAGCTAAGGCATCCAGCAGATGCAGAAGCATGGAAGGATTTTGATAGATTGAATCCTGATTTTGCTTCTGATGCACGCAATGTTAGGTTTGGACTTGCTACTGATGGGTTTAATCCATTCCGAATCATGAGTACAAATCATAGTACTTGGCCAGTGTTGCTTATTCCATATAACTTACCTCATTGGCTATGCATGAAACAACACTCATTTATTTTATCTATGATTATACCTGGTGAAAAGGCTCCGGGAATGGATATTGATGTTTATCTTCAACCCTTAATCAAAGAATTATTAGAATTATGGAATGGGGTTGATGCGTTTGATGCACACACGAAGACCAAATTTAAGTTGTGTGCAGCTCTCCATTCTACAATCAATGATTTTCCTGCTTATGCAAATTTATCTGGTTGGAGTACTAAGGGTCGTTTTGCCTGCCCATCTTGTGCTAAAGATACACATTGGGTATGGTTAGAAAATGGGCATAAATTTTGCTACATGGGTCATAGAAGGTGGCTTCCTAAGAATCATGCATTCCGTTTTGATGTTGTTGGATTTGATGGGAATGTCGACTTTGGAGATCCTCCTAAATGCTGTTGTGGTAGCAATGTGCTAGAGCAATTACGAGGGAGTGGTAAAACTTGAAATTAAAATTAATAGTTTGAATGTTTTCTTATCCTTTTATTCTTTTAGAAAATCTTATGTGTCTGTGTGTTTCATATCTGCAGGCTACTGGTTTGTGCAAGAATAAGGCAGAACCAAATCTGTTAAACACAATACTACGTGAAAAGCTCGAAAGATCTATACTTGTAAGTACATTATATTGTATATATATGCTGGGTTTTATAGTCATTGTGTTCAGTCATAGTGTTTAGTGTTCAGTTTTCTGAGTTTACAGTCATTGTTCAATTTTTAGTTTTTGGAGTTACAGTCATAAATTTTCAGTGTTCAGTTTTCTGGTTTTTGAATGCTGATTTTTACAGTCATTGTGTTCAGTTTTCAGAGTTTAACTTGAACCAAACTTTGGCATTTGATATCAAATTTGAAAAGAGATTAAAAGAATGGCAGTAGTTAAGAACCAAATTGGTTAAAATGCTGGTTTTTACACCCATACAAACACCCAAAAGCTCTTTACTTCATTTTCTTATATAGAGATTTAATTTTTATATGATAGAGATTTAATTCAAATATGTTCTTTGGACTTTGCAGATGTCGAGCAAAGATATTAACACAAGAAAAGATGGTAAATCTTTCTTGTAAATTGAAGTCAGGCCTATGTATAAGATACTAGATCGAAGATAAATTGATTTGGCATGACATGGCTGACTTGGCAGGGCTTGTGGGAATTTGATGAAGACACTATTGTTAGAGAGCATATCATATAACAATATATTGACTCTATTGCATTTCTTTTTTATTTTTTTGGAACTCATTATTAGAGGATAAATTGATGTTGGAACTCACTATTTATTTTGACACTAGATTTTTGATACTGCTTATGGAACTATAATTTGATGATGGCTTAGTTTTTGTATTTCCATGATTTTCAAATTGAGTTACTTTAAACTTTTGTATCCTTGAGTTATATATATATATATATATATATATATATATATATATATATATATATATATATATATATATAGAGATTTTGGTTCAGGTGAGAATGCAATCTAATGAAAGAAATAAGAATGAATCTAGTGCATTAGATTGGGAGATCTAAGGGTTAGAATTGCATCAAAATTAGGTGCACCAAGATGGTTTGAAAATGCATCATGTCGAAATGCACCATAATCGTTTGAAAATGCACGATCTCAAAATTTGAGTGCAGAATGCAATCTGAGCCGCACGATGCATTAGATCCAAAGGCTAGATTTTATTCTTATTTCTTTCACCAAGGTGCATTCTCACTTGAACCAGCCCCTATATATATATATATATATGATTTTTAAAAGTTAGTTATGCAGTTGTGATTAGCCACACATATTTATGTGCATATTGTGTTTTTATTTTTTTCCAAACAATTAAAAATTGCCGCATTCACATGTGCGGTGCATTGGAAACACTTACAAATGTGGCAAACGAAAAGATTAACAACACTTGTAAGTGTGCTTAATGTAAGTAATTTGCCACACTTATTTTATGTGTGGCAAAATTTTCCCCACATTCCCCGCCGCCACACTTAGCACATGTGTGGCGAACACTCTTTCCCGCACTTATATGTGTTGCGAATAGCAAGTTTAAGTGTGGCAAAAGCCGCATTTTTTTGTAGTGGTTTTTGGCTTATTAGAAACTTATGAAAATTGTTTTAATGATGCATGAAAACTATTTAAGCCTAGAGAGCAAAGATTGTAAAGTTGATGTCGGTCTTGATCACATGAAGACCGACTCAACTATTTCCTAAGTCTTCGTCTTCGTTCTTGGTTCTGGTTTTTACTTGATTGATCTTGATTTCACTTGATTAGTACGCCAATTTTCTTTGCCTTGAGTTTGCTCAATGTCTCTTCACATTCGTGGCGGTTTGACATTATCAAAACCTATCACAAAAACGAACACAACTTTAGTACGACATAGGTGTAAACACGTGTTCTAACAATTTCCCCCTTTTTGATAATAACAAACAAGATGGGGATATGCATAGGGAGAATGTTTTGAAGTTTGAAAAAGTTTGGAAGAGTTCCCCCTTAATTTATGCCTTAAAAACTTTTTGTCTTTTAAGCAAAACGTTTAAAAAAATGTTCCTCCTTAAAATATGCATAGCCATTATCTTCTCCTTTTTGACATTAACAAAAAGATTTTCAAACATAGATTTAATTGAATTTAGGGAGATGAAGAGTACAATGGAAGTAATACAATAATAAGATTTTAAAAAATAAAAAAATTATAAGAAGAGATAAAAATCTAGGAGCGGTGGTCTTTGTCCTCTTCTTCATCATCTTCTTCCTCGTCATCTTCGACGTCCATGGGGTCGCCATCAATCGCATCGTTGAACTCATCCTAGTTCGAGGAGCTTGAAGGGGCGTAGGAGGCGTCCCCTTTTTCATCTTCGCTGTACACTTGGCCAAGGAACGTGGCTTGGTATGGTGGAGGGACGTAGTTCACGCGTTGGAAGTGCACGTTCATAGCACGTTCACACAGATATGTTATACTGTTATCAGTTTTTCATCACACTGCTAACATGTACTCTTACAGTACATTGTCATTGTACTCTTGTTTTGGTCTTAAAAAACTTAAGACTCTTAGTTTGGTATTTTGATACTTTTCTACTCCTATCTAAGGAAATTTCTTATAATCATATTCTCTTCGTCCCTGGAATAGTCGTCCAGTTTTTACATTAAATTTGTATTAATGTGATAAAATAAACTTGTGAGCGTTTACATTAAATTATTGTTATACTAATATATATACAATGCTGAGTATAATTTTTATTTAATTGATCAAAATTTGTCCAATTTGGGGACAGATGTCGCCATAGCTAGTATATTTATCAGCACCAAAAATAAACTTTTTAATAAAAAATAACAATTTCACTCAAATATAATTTATAAACAAGAATAATATGCAAAATATTACAAACAACTATTATTATTATTATTATTATTATTATTATTATTATTATTAGTATTATTATTATTATTATTATTTTTATTATTATCAAACTAATGGATATCAATCACAATAATTGAGAAATTAGAACAACTCATTTATATATTGAACCCAAAAAATGCCAAATCAGGTTTCTGTTACTCCACATTGCATGCATGCATGGTTTACCTTAACTGTTCATTTACAAAGAAATTTCTAGCACAGAGTTTTTTGGAAGAAATATTACAACTGACCTGTTTAAAAAAAAAAAAAACTCCAACAGTGCGTGCATGACCGAATTCACTTAGCCTCTTCCATGACGTACAACGCGCGTCAGTGGCAACTCGGTGCTTCCATAGAGTGATTCCGGGGTCCAACATGTTGTGGCAGTCTACCGCAACTTTCGTCTTTCAGCAACAACAGTTTCTCAGGTGTTGTGCTTTGCAACCTCTCTGCGTCACGTGACCCTACAAACTTGCACAGTTACGTGACCCTACAAACTTGTTTGACTCAACTTCATTAATTTTTCGTGGGGGAAAAAATACTACCCCGTCCCAATAAGATTTACACGTTTTAACTAAAGTTGAAATTAAGAGAGGGATAATTTTGTATTGACTTTCCAAAAATACCCTTGATGTGATGGGTAAAAGTAGGATGTGATGTGTAGATTATTAGCAAAAAAGGTATGATGTGATATGTAGGGTTTGAAAAAGTAAGGGGTAAAAGTGGTTTTTTAATAGAAATGGGTAAGAGATTGTGGGACGCAATTTTTTTGAAAGGTGTAAATCTTTTTGGTACGGAGGGAGTATTCTTTAATAAATGAGAATACTTTACGAGGGAAAATGAACTTCAAGGAAAGCCATTTTCCTTGGACATGTTTCACTTTTTGGTAGAAAGGAAAACATTTCTTAAAAAAACATTTTAAGTTGTAAAGGTTTCAATATTAATATTTAAAGATAATTTTAAATTGTTTTAACAGCATGGGGGAGGGTGGCGTAGGGTGGGAGTATTGGTGTGGGGTAGGGGGGATGGCGCACGTTGGCGAGTGGTGGACAGTGGGGTGGGGGGATAAGGGGGCAGAGGGGTCGACATGCGGGTGGGTGTGAGGAATTAAGAAGAAAAGAAAACAAGGAGAGAGATGTGCGTGTGATGTGTCATACATGGTCTTGGTGTGTGTAAAAGTAGAAAAAAAAGAGAAAGAAATGATTGATTGATGGGGAAAATTTGGCTATAAATAAGGAAATAGTGGAAAGGGGATGAAGTTCCCCTAGCCCTTCACTGCGAGAAGAAAAGAAAAGAAGATAAGGGTTTCCACATAAAAAATCTTGTGTGTTGCTTCACTTTATCTTTTCTACACAAATTAGTTCATCTCATGTTTATCTCTTGATAGAGTGGTGTGTTGTTTTAGGGTATTTTTCCCATCCAACAAGATGGATGGTAGGGGTGGTGCGGTGGGGGGTGACGGGGGTGGCAAGGTGGGTAGGGGTGGCGGTGGCAGATGAAGACAAGGGCGGAGAGTGGATAGAATTTTTCTTCGAAAGCAAACGGAAATCATTTTCTCCTTGACGGGAGAAAATATTTTAATTAGAAGATTCCTACCACTTATGTTACGAAACAGAGGAATATAGAATCAAAATTTTCCGAGAAATATTTCCCCCTAACCAAACAGACTCTTGAACGCGAAGAAACTTTTGAAAAGGGAGGAATTAAATACAGTATGTCACCTGTATGTTGTTGGGCTGCGTTTGGAGCTTCGTATATTGTCTTCTTTAACCACACCGTTTTGGGAAACACCATCATGTTTATATCGCTCAAGCTCCTTTTATCATCTTCCTCAAAGTGTTGGAAACCAAAAGCCACAGTCCAAGCCTCCACCAAACTGGGGATGGCAGAAATCACAAACTTCTCCACCTTCAACCATTTTAACATCTACAAACATTGAACCACATTCAGGCTAAGTTAAGCACAACATACAGTTGAAAATGGCTACTTTCAGATGTACGTTAGTTTGGAGCTTTCCATACCTCTTCTATGCATTTCATTAGGCGGCGGCACATTCCCTGCCGCCGGTATTCGCTGCAGGTTGCAATCAACGGCATCTCTGCAACTTTAGCCCCGTGGATCCTGCTCCAACATCATTGCAGAGACTTGAGGAAAATGACAAAAACCCATTTTCTCTTTTCTTTTCCTTCCAAATTCTTTGAACCAAACATAGTGTAAAAAAGAACTTTGGACTACGAGTTACCTGATTGATGCTACGGATATCAAATTGTCGTCCTTCTCCAAAACAACGGTGTAAAACCCAGAATAGTTTAGACGCCCAAGCTGTGATCTACGTACAGAAAAGTAAACCACAGAACTTTAACATTATGTTTGGTTCGAGGATTTTGGAAGGAAAAGAAAAGAAAATGGTTTTCTCTCATTTTCCTCACCAAAATGGAAGGAATTTGATTTTCCTTCCACTTGGTACATTTTGCTTCTCATTTTTCTTTTCCTTCCACTTTTCCTTTCTTTTCCCCTCTAACCAAATAAGAAAAATAGTTTTCCATTTCATTTTCTTTTCTTTTCCCTTTCAAATTCCTTGATCCAAACATAATGTAAGTAGAGAAATAATGATATAATGGAGATTTGGATAGAAACCGGGTACTTAAAGAAATTGATTCTTTCATGCAACAAGCACTCACCCCCAGTTATACACTACTTGGGGTAGCATGTCTATGCCTGTTATAGGATCCACCATTGGAAGAAAACTTTCCTCCATAATGGTAAGGGCGACCGCTAACTTTGAGTTGCACTCTGTATGCAAAGCAACAAACTGCTGGACATAACGCATTTTCTGCTTACAAGGGATGCACTTCAAGAGTGTCCAGGAGAAGCCATCCGCAAGCTGATTCACTAGTCCAATGAGAGAACGGAGACCCGTGTGTATCTGCATGAAATGGGTCAGAATGAACAACCCAAAACTTAGCTGAGAGAATGACTACTTCAGCTTGATGTATAATATACAGCTTAAGATATGGAATGTTATAATGAATTTCCCTTATATATAGGGAATGTCTGACCAGAGGGTAGTACAAAATTTGCAGATAAGAAGAAATAGATTCCTATGATTGAGAATATAGAGAGCCTTTTTGTGTGGAATGATTTAACCCCATTTACGACAGAACTTATTGGCATTTAGTACATTTTAGATTTCCTAAAAAGAAAGTAATATGCCATAGAGGAAACATATCTCATTCCTTGTTGCATTAAAGACAAGTTAAAGGAAACTCCATCAAAATAATTATCCACATGTTACATTTAAAGACGCAGTTGCGGATAGAACTCGTCAGTTTTACCCGCATTTAACATTCAAAATAGAGTAGACTGTGTATCATTAATCACACTTACAAAATCAGGAAAAGTGGTAAAAATGGGATAATACAATAAATTATCTTTGGGTTTCTAAAAGTGACGATAGAATGGAACATTTTTTCATTTTATAAAAATAGAATGAGGCAGAATGAGTGATGTTCGAAGAAAAATAATAATACAGGGAACACGATGTTTACCTCCTCACATTGTTCACCACAAAACCAGAGATCTGAAGCCACTCCACATTTGAAGCCCTTCTGCTTCAAGCATGCATCATGGTCTATTCAACATAATCAACATGATCCAGGAGTTAAATAAACTATAAGAATAACAAGGGTGTACCACAAAATGTTACAGAAATAAATCAATGTAAGGAGTATATATTAGGATGTCACACTCACTCACTGACTAATCAAGAAGAAGAAAATCTAAATCAGATGAAAAACACTTTTGGTTTTTAGAGAGAAAAAAATGAAGAGAATTTTGTGATAACGCCCAGTAGCTAAACTCCACGATGGCATAGGGCTATATATTGTTGATTTCAAAGTATGTATAGTTATAGAGAATACATACTATAAAAATAGCTACACGGAGAATAATGAAGGTGCAACCTAAAACCACGTACTAAAGAAACGCATGAATGAGAATATTTAAAAGTACATCAAATACTACATCAGGCTCCACAACCTAACAACATATTCGGTCTGAGTTAGTAATAAGACAAGTTTCCCATTCTAATAAATTTGATAGAGGGCCACATATGCAGTTATTTTACGATATTAATATTTATAATAGAGTCCGTTAGGGTCATTTGTTTTAATGGGTCAAATATATCATTTTATATATGTTAGTTACTATTACTAAGCAGTATATAATGTGTAAGTGGGCTTAAATTCTGGAAGTAGTTGCTAAGCAATGTGGCAGTGAGCCTAACGTTTAGGAATATTTACTAGGCGATGTGGTAGTGGGCCTAATAAATTCAAGAGATTGGTAGTTATTTTCCTAGTATAAATATCGAGCCTCATTAGTTGCAAAAGTTATCCAGAAGGCAATTCAATATTTATTATTGGAGATTCTCCTTGGCTTTATTACTTATATGAGTTTAAGATTCTTGCTCATAATTTGATAAAGATTTGACTTTTATTATTTTATGAAGTTAGATGCTGATTTCATAGTTTAATAAAAACATTCCTTCATTTATTTTCCCGGCCAACCTTGAGTTCTATCATAATTCTACATGGTATCAAAGTGATCTTAAATTTCTTATGCTCTCTGTCATGATTGAACTTTACATTATATCTTGCCAAAATTTTCACAAAGGCTTTTGGGCAAGGCCAGTTTGACTTTGTTCTTCACAATTGGGCATTCGGGATCATCATGATCCCACTTGTGTGTATTACATTAATAGTAATTAATTAATCAAGTAATATTCGGGGAATTAAAAACTTATAGTCCTAAATGGGTAAATAGACTATGTTTTAGTCCTATCTATCTAGGGAATTCTCTCCGTAAATAATGAATGCAATTCAAGGAAGATCTTGCAAAGTGAGGTTCACGGGAAAGCTCTTGCTTACACTGATGTTCACACTGTACACATTGCGGATTAAGGAGTGTGTCACCCTCATTATTCTTGACCACATCCCCACAGACTCTGCATGCGCAATGGGGGCAATACCAATTCCCTTCTGGAAGTTCCTGAAGCCAAAAAGTTAACAATGAATCCTTTATTAAAAGATCAAAATATAAGTCAGCTGACTCCATTGAAGAGAATGGCTAACTTATTAAACAACAACAATAACTCAACAAAAGACAATTGTCCAACCTGTGCGTACAAGCACGCCTGATGAAATGTAGACGGACAGTTATCACAACATATCAACTCTCCACCCTCGCCACAACGCCCGCAACTATCGTCATTTTGATCCATTTCATCAAGGGCAGTTTGGGGATTTTGTTTCTTAGCCTTGTATTCAGCTAACCATGCCTCAAACTGACACAAGACGAATGGCTTGCCAGTTTCCATTAGAAGATTCATACAAGGATAGTTCAGCTTGGAACCAGCATGACTCTTGAACTTGGAGATAGATAGTACTTCACCACACAACTTGCACAATATGCCATTACTAGTAATTGAGCCAAGTTTCACAATAGAGTGATCTTGTGGATCATGATATTCGACCACTTCATTAATATAAACTGCCTCATGATGAATCAACCATGACAACACTGTCCTTGAAGCAAGAGAAGGCTGCATCCCATCTAGACAGTCCTTTCCACCACCCCTACTAGTTCCCCGCAGAAGCAACTTGCAACTCCCTTTTTGTCTTTTCGGTTGCTTAAGAGGTCTGGATTTACCGAACAGCTTTTTATCATTTTCCTTTAGAAACAATTTCTTTAACTTCTTTGGCCGCCCCTTTTTACCGCGGACTCCCTTTCTGTTCACTTCAGAGGACCCAGCGCTGCAATTGTGTGCTGCTGTGTCATGTTGATGGGAATCTGTCAGTTTTCTTTTGGAAAGCAGTTTGGGTTTCTTCTGTGCCTTCAATTCAGAATTGGTCACTGTCTTTGCAGTGGAAGATGCATATTCGGTCACTGTTTTCAGGGGCTGAATATCCATCAGAAGATCATCTGAACTGTTCAAAGAAAAAGACCCATGCTTCTTCAACCTAGCCCTTTCCTGATTCGGAATTTCAAAAGAAACCCCATTTTTTTCTTCCTCGTGATATACGGAAAGATTTCTGTTAAGACTTAAACAATTGGTATTGCAAGCTAGATTATTGATGACTGCCTCAGTTCTATCCATCAAGCTTTGTGCATTATTCCCTGAACTGACCGGGACTTCAACCACGCAACGGTCTTTTAGCTTGGTGGTACCATCCAATCCACAAGCTCCCAAGGAACATATATTATCTAATGTGCCTTTCTCATTCCTAGATGTTTCCCAATATGTGGGGCCACGCCGCCTGATGGTGCGGTTGGTGCCCAATGAAGACAATGGCTTTTTCTTAGGGACACGACATTTCACATTCCGACCATCCTTAAATGCATTATCTGCAATAATAGAAGAATCCTTTCCCTTCGACTTGGCTAGTTGAACACTACTAGAGATGTTTGCATTGTTCAGCTGAGAACTGCAGGCCTTAGACTCATTTGCATGGTTCTGTGTAGAAAGATGTAAGACCATTTCTTTACCAATGTCATTTTCATTGAACTTAGGACTTACTCTTAAAGTGTCCTCTTTGCCAATTTCATGTTCTCTACTCGGGTGACCATTCGACTTCTGCATATAGCAACTATGGATGACCCCATACTTATATGATTCAAGTAAATGGCCAGTAACCATGCAAGAAGATGCATGTACAGAAACCCCATCCAAGGCAACTGAAGCATTTGATGAACGTCCCAAACGAGTCCTGGCATTAGAAGGCTCTTTCCCAGCATGGACTTTTCCTCCAGAGCTTGCCTCCAGTGTGCTAGGAGAACCCACATGCACAATGCTTTCTTTTGCATTATCAGATTCAAAGTTGATTTTTGCTGTCACAAGACACTTTCTTTTGTTTGTACTGTTCTCAACGAAAACCTCTTTAAAGATTTGATCCTCGCTAAGTGACCCCTCCAATCCATCATCACGCAAACCGTTAACTTCTTTAGGAGACGGCATCTCCATGTGGCACAGCTGTATTCCAAAGCACACAATTATTCCAACCTAGGAAAATAATATTACAATGGATCATTTTTTTTACTACAATTAAGCTTGAGAATGTAAAAAATGTCAGCTCATTGCTCAATGTGCCTTAACAAGTTTTAGATGTTTGTGATTACAAGTTTGCTTCTAGAACGTTTGTCGTCATGTACGATCATAGAAATTCCAAGTGCAAATCATTGAAAGACTCATACATTGCAGGTAGCACTAGAAAAGGAAACACAATGGCTGATATGGAAGGAGAAACTATAGCAGTTTGGAATAAATAAGTTCTAGTTTTCCGTACTCATTTATTAGTGCACTTCCATTTTTGGTCCACATGAAGAGGATTTGGTCTCCCCCCCCCCCCCAACAGGAGTTGGGAAATACTCTTGTTCAGTGAGCAAAGAAGTGTTTCCGCTTGCAGCTAAAGAACTAAAAGTGAAGTTAATTCGTAAATTTTATTCATCGATTGAAAAGGAAAACTTTTGTTGCAAGCATATAAATATAACAAATAGTTAAGCGGGAACGCTCCTGTTTTCAACTTCAGTTTTCAGCTTTAATTTGTAACCATGAAATGCCCTACATCTTAAACAAATCATACTCATTTCATTCCCATTCATGGACTCCTATTACTTAACAAGCATTTGTTTTCTCAATGAAGGGATCAAAATACTATCTTTAAGAAGAAGAAAAAAACTCTGTATCATAGAACTACTCATTTCAAGTCAAACGTAGAGTGCTTATTGCTTAAGGAACAGAAACCACACGACCCAGTTTTGAAATTTCCAATCAACTCATTCTCCATTCATGGTTTATACAAAAGATTGTGCACGGTAAGAGTATGATTGATGCGATGAAACTCTGTGGGTGTGAGATGTGACTCATTTAACCAAGGAAGAACTTTTAACCAAAATAACAAATAAAATGGCTTCCAACCAAAGTTTTGGCAAAAAGAGTTCCAAATTGGAGTGTTACGGACATTCTGAAACCACAACTAATTTACAGTAAATCCATCCAACAACTGCAAACATGTGATCATTTCCTAAAAGGAATCTAAAGATGATCAACCATGGGAGTATCTGTTCCAAAAATGAATGCAAAGGGAATCCAAAATCAGAGCTTCAGCAAAAGCAGGTCATAAAATAAAAACTTTTGCTTGTTGAGATTCTCTTACAACCGAAATCGACCACCCGGAAAACACAAGCGAACAATCTCTCAATCACTCATAAGAAAATCCAAGAAAAACAGTAAGCCACCTTCTTGAAACCCCAAACTGAAACACCCAAAAAGCTCGACCGAAATGTGGCAAGAAAGTCATCACAGCATTTCAGAACAACAAACCATATGAGTCAAAGAATCATTTTTGAAGCTCAATATATATAGTGGAAATGATAAAGAAAAAAAGAATCCCCATTGATTGGTAAACCTTAAGAATGAAAGAAAAACCTCACCCTGACTCTGAGAATGCGTTCTGGGGCTACTACAAGAAAGAAACCCCTCTTGTTTTGAACGTTAAAAGGGAAGAATGGGAATGAATGGGTTACTGAAATCTCCTGAAGAATTAAGAGGAATTAATGAGAGGAGAACAAAAGAAAGGAGTATTTATGAAAGGGTCCACCTTTATACTTGGTTCCATATCAGATGCATCACAGAACACGGGTTAATCGTTGGATTTGTTGGCATCTGAAAACCCGGAAATTGCTCCAACGGGCAGCAGATGTGAAACGTGAATCCCCCCAAAACACAGTCGTCACTCTCACTCTCTCTCCCTTCCATGGGAGTGAGAAGCACAGTATATATACTTCCCCTCCCCCCATTGGGTTCTTTGTTGTCATGATTTAAATGTTTTCCTTTTTGTTGTTTTCCCATCTCCTCCGTAAGCGTCGTCAGTCACTGACCATAAACCTCGTTGGGGAGTCGCCATGGGGGAAGAGCTCATCTTTGCTTTTAGAAAAATGCTTGGTTCACAAACTCAAACTTCACAAACTTACCATTTATGAATTTCAATAAAAAAAATTAAATAGTTTAAAGTAATTTTAAAATGAGAATTTAACCCATAAATAGCAAAGTTTGTGAAATTTGTGATGATTCTGTTTGCATTGCTCTTGCTTTTATATGCTATCCTTGGCTATAAACCAACGTCATCAGTCCGTAACTGAATGGAACTCTTTTTGGGGATATTTGCCCTTTTCGTCTTCTGACTTTTTCTACAGTCATTCCTTCTTGGTCACTTTTTCCTAAAAATTCCTTATAATTGTCATTTTAGGCCTACGGAGCAAAAAATAACTTCCGGTAACAGCTCTCTCTTTTGTCTCACATTATCTGAAATATGATCTGAAATATTATCAATTTTTTAATAAGAATTTTCAGATCCCACATTATACAAAATATACTATGTGGTCCTTCAAATTTTTTATATTATACTGTTAAGGTACATTCCGTCTATTTAGGCGTTAGGATTGAAAATGTTTTACTTTAACAAACTGAAATATTTTATTTAAATTTAATAAAATAATGATTGTCAAGATAAAATTTAGCATCTGTCAAAGTAATTGAATTTTTAATCCTAACGGCCAAAAAAATCATATGTACCTTCAAAGTTCATTACCATTAATTTTAAGGAAAAATTACCCAAAATAATCCCAACTTTACTCGGTCTTTAAAAAATAATCCCACCTTTCACTGTGATGCATAATAATCCCAACTTTACTGAAATTTGCCAGTTTTGGGTTGCCGTTAAATTTCTAACGGAGAGTTAACGGAAATGCCCGTTTTAGGCAACAAAATGAAAGTTGGGATTATTTTTGATGAATTTTCATTTTTTTTATTTTTTTTAAATTTTTCATTTAAATTTTTTAAATTACTTTCTACCTCCATCATCATTTCTTTTTTCCTTTTTTAAAGATTAGTCTTAGTTTAAAAAATAAAAATAATAGATATAAAAATGAAAAAAATGAGAAATGTAACTAAAATGATACAAAAATAATAAAATAAATAAGGTAATCAATGGAAACTAACTTGAAATTGGTAAAAGTAAAATAAAAATATACGGGTGGGTTTTAATATTTCACGCATTATACAAAGTATTAACATATCACTTCTTATTTTTTAGAAAAAATTATCTACAATAATTCCAACTTTACCGAATGGCTTTTTCTTTTAAAAAATAAGTAGTACATTAAGACTCCGTATAGCGTGTAAAATGTTAAAACCCACCACTCCGTATATATTTATTTTATTTCGGAGTTTCTGTTTAATTTCTATTGATTACATTATTTATTTGATTAATTTTGTATGGTTTTAGTTATTTTTCTCATTTTCATTATTTTTTATATCTATTAAAAAGATTCCATTCTTATTAGAAATTTTTTCTTTTTCTTTACCTCCAACTTTCATTAAGTTTTTTAAATTTATTTTTAAAGTTTTTTTTAATTTTTTGTTTTATTCATCAAAAATAATCCCAACTTTCATTTTGTTGCCTAAAACGGGCATTTCCGTTAACCCTCCGTTAGAAACTTAACGGCGACCCAAAACTGGCAGATTTCAATAAAGTTGGGATTATTATGCATCACAGTGAAAGGTGGGATTATTTTTGAAAGACTGGATAAAGTTGGGATTATTTTGGGTAATTTTTCCTAATTTTACTCACAGAGTATATTTTGAATAATGTGGGATTTGAGAATTGTTACTATAAAATTGAGAGTACTCTAGAATATATTTCAGATAATGTGCAACTTAATGAAATCGCGTAAACAAACAAAACTTATCGAGAAGAGAACAAAAAAATTGTAATCTAATTAGGGACGAAGGGAGTATGAAAGAGCAACAGTTTACATGCAAATAAGTAAAATTAATACGAGGAATGAGTTTCTTCCTTGATTTTAGTGACAAAAAGCTACTTCTCAAAGATTCGTACAAAATCCACCCAGATTCGATTCCTAACATATGCAAAATTAGAATTTAAATAGGAAAATTTACCAAAATGGTACTAAAACATAATACATTTTCCAATATAGTACTATATATTTTTATTTGCGAATATAGTACCATTGTTCATTGTCCATTGGTCATTGTGCAAGTAAATGTCTAGGATCATTGGACATTATTCAATTAAATGTTTACCATCACTAGACTTTATTCAAGTACTATTTCAGGAATAAAAAAGTTTAAGTACTACATTGAAAAATGACATATGTTTTGTTTCTATTTATTGCAAATTCACATTTAAATAATGTCCAAAATAAATTTAGTGTTTTAGGGTCTATTTGGTTGGGGTGAATATTTTCAAAAAAATTTTTTATCCAATTTCTCTAGTTTAGTAACACAAGTGGTAAACTATCGCCCCATTCGAGTTACTTTTATATAAAATGATTCCAGTAACTTTTATAGAAAAATTTTTATTCACTCCAACCATCGCCCCATTCGCATCCCGTCCCCAAACCCGCCCTGCCACCCCCATGCCCCAACCCCTCCCACCCTGCCTCAACCCCTACCGCCCGGAAATCATTTACTCTGAAAAAATATTTTTCTTCCTCTAACCAAATACACTATTAATATGACTTTTTATATTTTGCAACTTGTCTCATATATTCCTCTATTTAGTGTAAAAGTTCATTTTGACTTTTTCAATCAAATTACATAAACTTTTATCATCAATTAAAAAAATATTATAAAGTATTAATATGGTAAAATAAGGAGGGTTTTTTTTTCTTTTTGAACGGGAACATGTAGAGATTGTTATTGTCCTTCAAAGCTGGCATAATAGATTATTGTTAAAAAATCACCTAGCTTGTTAAAAAGAGACTCTAGATTCTATAGAAAATACTTGTAAACAAAGTATACTAGTAAATGTCATTAATACGGAAAATCTATATATTTAGTATATTTGTATATACTATGAGTCTCCTTTCAAACGTGGAATAAGAACATCTTCTTTATGATTGGAAAAACAATCGTCAGATATTGGAAGAAACTAAAAAAATTGATAGAACTGCAAAAAATAGAGAAAACTAGAAAAACTAGAAGAAACTGAACAAATGTAGAAAAATATGGAAGAAATTAAAAATTATTGAAAATGAAAAAAGTTGAAATAAATCTTGAACTTCTGAAATAAAAAAAATGAAAAATTGAAAACGTTGAAATGAATATTATACTTTATAAATTCCAAGACCTTCTATTTTAATTATTTGTTATCTAAATCTTTTTACACATTTTTAGGTCTTTTTTTTCTTTACAAAATGTAGTAGTATAATTATTACTACCTCCGTCCTAGTATATTCAACCAATTTAATTTTTTTTTGTGCCAAAGTGAATGAACTTTAAGTTTCCATTAAATCGTAATGGGAATGTATATTAGTATAAAACTTGCTGGGAATTTTATTATATTTATCTTGTTGAGAACTTTTAAAGTTTTATTTTATCGTAATGATCTGCAATACAAATTACGAGTAATAGATTATTAAAAAATAGCCCTTTTATCAATAGCTTTTGGAACATAGGTTAGTGTCATATAAATTAGTAAACGAAAAAGTTATACTAGTTATATTTTAAAATGGAAGGAAAATAATAATGCATGTGAATCACAAAAATAATGACATGGGAAAAATAAAAGTAGGCAAATTGAAATAATTTATAAACTATAATATTAATAACAACAACAACAACAAGAATAATAATAATAATTGATATAAAGACATTCCTTAACATACAGAATAACAATTATAGTAATAATAAAATAAGAAAAACAAATAACAATATTTTATTTTCTATTATCCCTATTATTCATAATATTTCCCGCGTAAGGTGATCGCCGGTAACGAGAATCAGCTTGAAGCACAAGTACTAAAATCGAGCCGGCGGAAGTGGTTTTGTGAGGATAGTTGTGAGAAGTAGCGAGAGAGATCTTTGTTACATGATGAATGAACTTAATTGGATAGTGGGAGACAAAGCCTTACTCCACCAAAGGCAATGACTTGATGGAGATGCAATATCATTTGGGCTCTTCCTACCAAGTAGAGCCCCTGGTGGGTACTAGCATTTTTAACAAACGCGCTCTAGATCGTGCAGACCTTCTCTGCTACGAGCCTGTCAGAAATGGCTATCAGTTGCTCTTTCATCCTTTGCTAACTAACATCTGTAACCACCACCTTATTCTCCCAGAGTCCCAGATCAGTTGATGCCCAACGCCCATGAGACTCGCTCTACTTTCATCCTCCGATGAGCGAAGAAGGGGATTGCCCCAATCTACGAGAACTTTTGCCACCTCTTTTGCCTAGGTGGAGTTCTCTATATGCGGATCTACCCCGACAAGAAGCGCATCATCTTTGTCAACATTGTTGACAAAGTAGAAAAGTGGGACGAGAAAAGCTTATAGGCGATTTTCCTATAAGAAATTTTACATGGCCTCTAAAACATTTTCAACTGGAGCAAGATCGCTCGTGAGAAGTGCGACACTTATCTCGCCGATACCCGTACCGGCACTGCCAACCGGCTGCCACCCACGGTACCGGTTCTGGTGCCATTTTTTCGTACCGGCATCGGCGGTACTGGTTTCAGTTCGGGTACCGAAATTAAATTTTTTTTTTTTGGTTTTGCTGTCCAACGGTCCTCCTGCAAAAAAAATGCTGCAGCCCACCTGCAACCTGCAAAAAAAGGTAGGCAATTAAAAGTGGGGGAGGGACCCCTCAACGACTATAGAGTCATTTGAGGGGAGGGGGGG